ATCAGAGCAGTATATCTTGGGAAAAACTTAAGAAAAAAATGGCTCAAAAGAAGTTTGAGGAAAGATTAGATACTACGGATAGAGAAGTGGGTGGCTTGAAGGATGAAGAATCCAGAATGGCCAGAGCGTAGAATAGAATGGAAGAACAGAGGAAAGAGAATCAGAAGGCTTTTGCTTCCCTAATAGCTGATGCGGCCGTTAGTAGAGCGTCGACCAAACTTCCCAGGGGAGAGGAAGAATCGTCACTTAAAAGAAAAGATCCCGAAGAAGGGGGAGACTATACGAACATGAGAGAGGGACTGTATGACCGAAGCAAATTTAAGAAAGTTGAGATGCCGATCTTCACTGGAGATGATTTGGATGCTTGGTTATTTCGGGCGGAGCGATACTTCGTCGTCCACCATATTTCCGATACAGAAAAGGTAACGGTTTCCATCACGAGTTTCGAAGGTAAGGCGTTGGCGTGGTTCCGATAATGATGGTCGGCAACCTTTTAATGACTGGGCAAACCTGAAATCCAGGTTATTCGAACAGTTTGGATCCTCGCAGGATGGAATGTTATGCGCCAGATTCCTTGTCGTGAAACAGGAGGGAACCGTCGCAGACTACCGTACCCAATTCGAAGCCCTGGCCGCTCCGTTACCTCACCTAATAGAAGAAGTCCTAATCAGTACGTTCCAAAACGGGTTGGATCCGATCATAAGGGCTGAGGTTCTATGTTGGCAACCTACTGGGCTGGAAGGAATGATGAAAACAACCCAACTTATTGAAGACCGTGAGGTGGCTAAGTGTATGAGGACAGGAATCCAAACCCAGACGAGACCAACCCAAGCCCAAAACACCAAAGGCCCATTCTCCTTTCCAAAAACCCTACCCAAAACACCCGATCCAAACCCTAATCCTCCCATGCGAACCATAACTCTTTCAAATCACAACCACCCGATACGAAAAGACCAAACATTTAAACGCCTCACAGATGCTGAGTTTCAGGCGAGGAAAGAAAAGGGGCTCTGTTACTGCTGTGAGGAAAAGTTCACCGTCTGTCACCGTTGTAAAAGCAAGGAACTTCGCGTTCTCCTCATCCACAACGAGGCCATCGATATGGAAGATGAAACAGAGTTGGAAGAGAGTATTCTTGAGGAAACCGTCGCCATGCAGACCGCTGAAGTTGGAGAATTAACCGGACTGGCGTTGAATTCCGTTGTGGGGTTCTCAACACCAGGTATGATTAAAGTAAAAGGGAAGGTTGACGATGAGGAGGTGGTAGCCCTTATCGATTGTGGGGCAACTCACAACTTTATTTCTCAACAGCTGTTGGAAAAATTGAAGATTCCGATGACCGAGACAGCACATTATGGGGTGGTAATGGGTACCGGAAAAGCTATCAGAGGGAAGGGAATCTGTAAAGATGTGATTCTGAATTTTCCAGAGTTGACGGTTGTTGAGAATTTCTTACCCCTGGAATTAGGAGGGGCGATTGACATGGTCTTGGGGATGCAATGGTTACGAACTCTCGAAGTAACATCCGTTGATTGGAAGGGACTATCATTGACTATTAACACAGGGGAGCAAAAGACTGTGTTAAAGGGAGACCCGTCACTTACCCGCACCGAGGTTTCACTGAAAAGCTTATTGAAATCATGGGAGGAGCAGACCAAGGATTTCTGATAGAATGTTGAGCTCTCACGGCACTCACGGGTGAGGAAGGGGAATACGCTGCCATTCCCTACACCGCAAACGTCCCTCCAATGGCATCCTTGTTAGCGGAGTACAGTGATATTTTCCAAACACCATCCAGACTTCCCCCGTGCCGGGCAATCGATCATCGTATACAACTTCAAGAGTGACAAGCGCCTATCAATGTTCGTCCTTACCGATACACGCACGTTCAGAAGAATGAGATTGAACGGTTAATCAACGAGATGCTCACTGCAGGGATCATTCGCCCTAGCGTAAGCCCGTATTCTTGTCCCATATTATTAGTCAAGAAGAAAGACGGAAGCTAGCGCTTTTGTGTGGATTACAGGGCTCTGAATAACGCCACCATACCCGACAAATTTCCCATTCCGATGATCGAGGAATTGTTAGATGAATTACATGGTTCATGCATCTATTCCAAGATCGATCTTAAGTCGGGATACCACCAAATCATGGTAAATGAAGCCGATGTTCAGAAGATAGCTTTTCGGACCCATGAGAACCACTATGAATTTCTGGTCATGCCTTTCGGCCTCACCAACGCCCCGTCCACCTTTCAAGCTTTGGTGAACAGTATTTTCCGCCCCTTCTTGCGAAAGTCCATACTTGTTTTTTACGATATTTTGATTTATAGTACAGATATGGAGTCCCATGAGCACCATCGTAATGTTGTCTTCAACGTTCTATGGGAAAATTTCTTGTATGCTAACCTAAGCAAGTGCCACTTCGCAAAAGATCGCATCGAGTATCTGGGTCACTGGGTTTCGGCCCAAGGCGTAGAGGCGGATCCGGAAAAAGTACATGCAATGTTAGAATGGCCAATCCCTACGAATTTACAAGAGCTGTGTGGTTTCTTGGGACTCACGGGATATTACCGACGTTTCGTTCTGAATTATGGTGCAGTGGCAGCACCCTTAATACAACTTCTTAAACGTGATGCTTTCCATATTTATTGGGCCAAAAGTTCATCGTACGTACTGATCAACAAGCCTTGAAGCATCTATTGGACCAAACAGTAGTGCAAGCAGAATATCAAAAATGGGTTTCCAAGCTGTTGGGGTACTCTTTTGAAATACAGTATCGATCGGGACTCGAAAATAAGGCTGCAGATGCCCTTTCCCGAATGCCGGCCACGGTGCACCTTGCATACTTGTCGGTCCCCACATTGCTGGATGTTGAAATCACCAAACGCGAGGTATTATAGGACCCGAATGCGCTTCAGTTCTGGTCCACCTTGCAGAAGGTCCGGACAGCATGCCAAGATTTTCCCTTCAGCAAGATACGCTTTTATATAAAGGTCGTTGGTGCTTTCGAAAACGTCTGCTCTTATACCCACTGTACTCCACACATATCACGATTCTGTTATGGGAGGACATTCTGGTTTTTTGCGGACTTATAGGCGTTTAACTGGGGAATTATATTGGCCGGGAATGAAAGCAGATGTCAAACGATACGTGGAGGAATGCCCCACTTGTCAGCGTAATAAACAGTTGGCCGTATCTCCTGCTGGATTATTACAGCCCCTTCCGGTACAGGAACATATATGGGAGGACATTTCGATGGATTTCATTGAGGGACTACCTCGCTCTGAGGGGTTTGACACCATTTTTGTGGTGGTCGATCGCTTAAGTAAGTATGCCCATTTCATCCCGTTGAAGCACCTATTTACGGCCAAGTAGGTGGCAGCAGCCTTTATCCGAGAGGTGGTCCGTTTGCATGGGTTTCCCCGCTCTATTGTATCCGACCGCGATAAGATTTTTCTTAGTCATTTTTGGCGGGAATTATTTCGTGTCCAAGGTACCCAATTACGGCGTAGTACAGCCTTCCACCCTCAAACTGACGGGAAATCCGAGATCGTGAATAAGTGTGTGGAAACCTACCTCCGTTGCTTCTATATTGACCGTCCCAAGCGATGGGGGACATGGATTGCATGGGCTGAATACTGGTACAATACCACCTTCCATATATCTACAGGTACGACACCTTTTAACGCTGTTTACGAACGAACCCCACCTCCATTGCTGTTTTATGGAGACTCCCGGACATCGAATTCGACGTTGGACCAACAATTGGTTGAACGGGATCAAGCGTTGTCCATCCTGAAAAATCACCTAGTGACGGCCCAAGGTCGTATGAAGAAGTTTCCTGATCGGCATCGCCGAGAGGTGGAATTTCAGGTGGGCGATTGGGTCTATTTGATAATACGGCCATACCGGCAACTATCTCTAGCCAAGCGCATAAATGAGAAACTCTCCCCCAAATTTTTTGGGCCCTATCAGGTGCTAGACAAAATTTGATCATTGGCTTACAGGTTGGATCTTCCTAGTGACGCCACCATACACCCGGTTTTTCATGTTTCCCAATTGAAACAAGCATTAGGAGATCATTCCGTTGTTCATCCCCATCCTCCACGGTTTACTGATGATTTCGAATTGGAGGCTATTCCTGAAGAAATCATGGCATTACAATGTAATTCAACCACGGGAGAAGTGGAGCTCCTCATTCGCTGGCAAGGGTTACCTGAACATGAAGCTACGTGGAAGTCCAGATCCTTTATTCAGCAGCAATTTCCGGAATTCCACCTCGAGGACTCGGTGCTTTTGTATCTGGGGAGTGATGTGAGACCCCCAATCATTAATACATATACTAGGAGGGGCAGAAGCGGCATTGTATGTGTTGACAGTTAGTTGGTTCATTAATGCGCATGGCTGGCATGGTGGGAGTACCTATTTTATCTGTTGAACTGCTTTTGATGTTTTTCATGTTATGTTTTGGGAGTTAGAAGGACGGAAGAGAAGAGGACCAGCACTCTCTAAAGGGCTGGGTTTGTTATTTTGTGCAATTCGAACAGGTTTATCCTGGATTATTGTTCTAATATCACCATTTTGAGTAAGGAAAACCTTATATATATCGATTTCATTATTTGTCATGTGTTTGGACGCATATGGTCACTACTTATATACTGGAGTCTCCTCTGTTTTTTTCAGTTTCAATAATGCACTTCATTGTTTTTGCATATTATGCAAAACTTTCTATTGAGCAATTTTGTTATTTTGTTGAAACATTTTAAGTTATTTTACCAAATTGGTTGTTTTTTTTTTATTTTCTTTTAATGAGAAACTGAACTTTTCATTGAGACAAATGAAAAAAGAACTCATGTACAAGGACATTAAAAAAACCAGCCCTACACTAGCCCTACAACAGAAGTTCCCTTGGTATACGTCTGAAGAGAGTGTTGATTTGCCTCCTCTATTTCCAATCCTGTGAACCGGCTTCCTGATTAGTGTACTTGTCTGAATTAGGCCATTCTGATCCTGCAAAACTAAAGGGAACTGCACAGGATGTGAAGCAATTGTCTCCAAGTGCGCTAAAGAAGCGGCAGGAAGAAATTAAGGTGCAATTGTAGTGTATTTCAGTTTCTGCATGGAAATCAAACAAAGAAATGAACATTTTTGTATTCATATGTATACTCACTTTAATCCCTTTTGTTATGCGTTATGCAACTCAAATCTGAGTAGTTATTGATCTCATTGAGATTCACGAGTACCCTGCTTCTGTAGGATCTAATGGAGAAGTTGAAGATGCCATCAGATGCAAAGTTGATTCAAATTGCTATAGATGACTTGAAAAATTCCTCCTTATCATTGGAAGATCACCACCGTGCACTACAGGAGCTTTTAGTACTCGTTGAGCCAATTGATAATGCAAATGGTTGGTTCTAGCATCACTATTAGCTGAGGACCCTGGGAACGGATTCTCTCTCTTTTAAATGTTGGCTGGCAATGAGATATGTTCTTATTATCCTTGTGAGCCGAGGAACTTGTGAATTTCTTCAATCAATTACATTTGTTTTACCTTACACTTCATGTCGCATGTTAGTTACACCTTAAAGTATTTGTGGAAGAAGCATTTCTTTGAAGTGCTTATTGTGAATGTACTTCACTTAAATTCACTAAAAAACATTTGTTTGGTGCTTTTAACTGAGTTCATAGTCCTATCCTATATAATTCTTAATCTTATTTTTGGCTTTGTTATCTTACCTTCTCTTACATTATTAAGTTTTTGGGTTTTTCCTTTTCGTTTTGTAGATTTGAACAAACTTGGGGGCATTGCTGTGCTTATCCATGAGCTTAATCATATTGATCCTAATGCTAGGAAAGTTGCTGCATGGATTCTTGGAAAAGCGAGTCAGAATAACCCTATTGTTCAAAAGCAGGTACCATCGTACACCGAGTGCAATTATTTTCATTAATCTCTTCGTAGAATTTGCCTTCAGCTACATTCTTATTGCCAGGTATTGGAACTGGGGGCACTAGCAAAATTAGTGACGATGGTAAAATCTGATTTTGTAGAAGAAGCCATCAAGGCATTGTATGCTATTTCAGCTTTGATTCGAAATAATTTATCTGGCCAGGAATTATTCTATGCCGAATCTGGAGATAGTTTGCTTCAGGTGACAAACTGAAGATTTGTAGAGGAATGATGTGCCACTTTCATGCTGACGGAATCCAGGAGAGGTGACAGTTTTCTTTTGGTTTCTGTAGGATATTCTAAGCAACTCGAGCATGGATATCCGATTGAAAAAGAAAGCAGTGTTTCTCACAAGTGATCTGGCCGAGACACAATTAGAAAAAGCAGATGAAGCTGAGATGCCATTTCTTGGTGACCGCCTTTTCTTGAAGTCTGTGGTTGATCTAACCCATTCAACGGACATTGATCTTCAGGAGAAGGTGGGGTGTTTTTTTTTTTTTCTAAGAAAGTTCTTCTACATTTTCATTTATTATAATCTTTTTGGTGCATTATAGGATCGGCTTTTAGATAAGGGTCATTTGTGGATTTTCTACAATATATAAAGATGTCTGTTTAATGTGCACACTGCACATTATTTCGAAATTTCTTTGACATATTGTGTTAGGTAAAGAGGTGTGCCCCTTGTTCAGATTGGTTTTATTTTGCATTTACAGGCCCTTGTTGCTCTAAAGAACCTCCTGCTTCTGAGGACAACTGAAGCTCAAGTTTTGAGAGAATTTTGTGGGTTGGACGTTGCTTTGCAGAGGATGAGGGTGAAGCTGGAGGTATTAATGGAAGAGGAAGATCACAGAGATTATGCAATGGATGTGGAAAGTCTGCGAAGCCAAGTGGAGTTAATTTTCCTTGAAAAACTAGGAAAGGTAGTTTTTACTCGGAGATTTATCATTGTAATTGTGAGTAAGTAACCTGCAGGCGGTGAACTAAATACAATTCTTTGGTTACAGAGCATGCAGGTTCCAACATGAACACGAGGATGATATTAGTTGCAGCCTTAAAGATATGTCATATACAGTGCTTTCATACTAACCTAGCCTGTTTTGAAGTGTCCCCTCGATAGAAAAGAGATACATCCCAGCTATGTCGGGAAAGTTGAAATTTTTATAGCAATGTAAAGATTTTTCCCGCAGAATAGAATGAATAATTTATGTGAAATTTGTAGGATATTATTCGGAAATATTCAATTTTTTATTATTTAAAATTTAATTGCGTCTTAAAATAGAGGGAAGTAAAATTTTAATTTTTAGTATTGAGAGAATTAAAATTGAAAACTCATGTTTATTGTTTCCTTTGAGTTCCAAAAACCAAGGGAGGCCAAGTACTTCATGTTGGCATCTTATGCTCCCAGCACAAACTAACTTTTAAGGTAATTATGATACCGATTGATGTATTCTTGGTGTTTCAAGAAGAAGAAGAAACAGGCTAGGTTAGTAGGAAAGCACTGTATATGTATCCAGCTCTCACGCCCTTGCCTTCCCTAAATTTTCCGGCCCTCCCTCTTCCTACGTTATTAATGAGACTCGACTCCTCCAAACTTCTGCCAGTCGAAGAGGACGCCATCTTCATCTTGTCTACGGTAGCAGTGATGCTAATGGTAGTAAGAAGCTAAGGGAGTGCCCAATGCCAACTATGTTGTTCCACTCAATAAATCATTTTCCCGGCTTGCATCACTCGTCCTCCCCCCTACTTTCATCCCTTGGTACCAAATAATATGCAACAATCCAAGCGTATAGACAAACGAGTCTGTAGCCACTTGAATCCAAAACGAAGGTGAGGTTATTGACCCTCTAAATTAGCTATTTCAATACCCTTTCTCCCTTTGGGTCAGAACTATACGAAGGTTGTCATACTTCTTTTGTAAAGTGTAAAAAATATTACGAATTAAATTTTGTAATATAAGTTTGAGATCTTATTGTACCTAATGTAGCTTAATACCTTTTTTCATGATTAAGATAAACTCGTAGTTGAAATTTTGGGATCGCCATCGACCATGGCCAAGGAAAGAGGTAAGAAGAGAGTGGGAAAATTAAAAACCTAATAATAAATACGATTTGCGTATTAAAATGACGTAACAAGTCCGTAGGTTACACTAACCCAATTAGATATTAAACGTGATAGTACATGAGTAGGCACCTGAGTTCATGAAAGAATATAGACTTGAACTCACGAGATGAGTAGGCCATAACCTTTAAATCCCACACAAAGGTGGATAACTTAATAAGCATAGCTTCATATTCATCAAATACTATAGTAGAGAACATTTCAAATTAATATTAAGAAAGCCACGAAACATCGCAGGCCTTGCCTTAAGAAAGCTTCATATTCATCAAATATCAAGAAAGCAGCAACCTAAAGATTGTTCCAATATTTGAACAAGCATGTAATTGCCTGTTAACTAATACACATGTTGAGCTTTTTCCTCGGTATAGAATTGTAAATAATAGTTTGTCCGTAATATTTGATGATACAGTTACCAAATAACGTAAACAAGCATTTCGTACATTATTTACAGCAATGAAGACCTAGAACAATGTAGTCGCACGTTATTGATTATTCGGTCAAAACCCTATGGCAATACTCTCCAAGAGCCCAAATGGGAAAAATGTTCCGGTATGCAGCATATGTGATCATGCAATTTTTATTGAAGACTCCCATGATCTCCTGTAATGTTTAAAATATAAAGTGAAATTTGCTTTGTTTTTAATCGTATATGACGAAACTGATTAAAATATACTGCACAAATTACCTCTTGTGGGAAATCGCCATTCTCCAACTGTGAATTGATTAACAACCTTGCTGCACGATGCAATGGTGCTGGGTCTCTCTCACCCTATGAAACAATATTATGGGCGTGTATATAATTCACTGGTATTAATTAAGATTAATGTATATTTTGTTTTATTAGGTTAGATTTTACCTGGCCAGCTTCGATGAGGGCCATTAAAACCCAAGCCGTGTTAACCAGGTGTGGTCTGTTTCCTTCAAGATTTGTGTAGACCTACCCCACAAAAACATTGCAATGAACATGTGTTGTGTACTCCATATGGAACTGAATGAACAGATATGGATGGAACATGGAACCCACCTTATTCTGACATGAAAGGTAACTCTCCCCCCATCCACCGCCGGGCAGCTCTTTAGACAGTAGAAAATCGCAAGCCTTGCGAATGGCGAGGCAATTACTATATGCCCTTCCTGCAGCCACTAATCCCTTTATGCCAAACCAACCCGCATAAGTGAAGCAAACCCCCCAACATCCGTACCTATAAGTTTCATAACAACAATCTGAATCAACATATAATCACTTTTGAGTTTTGTCAAAGGCAAAGCAATTAAAGAGAACAAACCAAGAACCATCCGTCCTTTGCATATTTTCGAGGAAGTCGGCTGCCCTGGCAATAGCAGTATCAATTTCTTTGGTCCTATGGCCGGGATGTAATTTCTTAAACAACGCCAGTGCTTCCATTGTGGCTGAGGTGCACTCCACATACCTACAAGTGTGAGCGCTCAACATCAAACGTTACGCCCTCAGCTTCAATTCCTACTAAGCTGGACTAAAACTTAGAACTACACTTACGGATAATCAATGACAATATCTCCAAACGTTTCCGCAGGGTTGATCAACTGACACATCAACAATCAATCTGCATTGTTACTTAATATATATATTTGGGATGAAAGCAAGCTCTGCTTCATAATTGATAGCAGTTAAGTGAGGTGAAATTGAAATGAATTGTCTTCCCCATTAACTCTGTATATAATTTAGTTTACCATGTGGAGGCATAATTTCATGATGAGGGGTATGGCTAATTACCTCCAACCAAGGATATGATCTCGTCAACTCATATGATGCAAAGCCACCATTGTCGTTCTACATGCATATATTTCAAAGAAGTAAAATATAAATAAAATAAATACCACATAAAACGTAATAATAATAATTTTAATTTTAATCGATCTGGAATTTTATGTGGCCGGTAACTCACTTGCAAAGAAAGGAGAACGTTTACAGCATCACAAAGGCGATTCCTTTCTAATGGCTCCCCAACCGTTTCGGATGGAAGTTTGGATAACATTAAAGAAGCCTGTGAAAAATGCATGAGTTGTTAAGGATCCCAATTGATGAGATAGAAGATATTAGTGACTCCGGAGACACACACCAAATTTCGAAGTTCAGTTTCATACATATGTTATACCTTTAATCCCTCTGCTGTACAGTCAGAGATGAGCCATCCATGATCTCGAGTTGAAAATGGCCATGCACCTTTATGAATGTGACGGAACCAAACATTAGGTTCCCCAGGACAGTCCTGTTGGATCTGGAAACCAATACGCCTCTACCATCGTAAATAACCTAGAAATTGCATCATTCGTGTAAATACAACAAATAATTTGAGAACAAAAACCTGAGAATTTTTAACGTAGTCGTGTGCCTTTCTTAAAGTTGGGCCATAGTTGTCTACAAGCTTGGTGGATATGATTGCTTGGACGGAGAAAGCAGTGTCCCACAACTGGCTTCCATTATAACCCTACAGTTATAACGAAAAAAAGAGTCCATTATTCCTTTGAGAATCGAATGCGATATAGAATATCCATTAATTACTATGGATCACCAGAGTTAAGCTTCAAACCTGCATTTTCATGCCATCCTCAGCAACCCAGAGATAGTCATGGACTCGTTGAAGATGAAGTTTGAAGGCCTCTGAGTAGGGATCTTCAACCCAACAACAAAGCATATTGAGTACCTTGTTGACAGGCCCGAGGCATATATATCGAGTGTTCTCATCTTCATAGTGAATATGTTGCATTGCAGTTTTCAAAGCCTTTTCCCTCAGGCGTTTGGCAGGCCAATGTGTGAACAAGGGCTCATACATATGGTGGATAGATCCCCACAGAATATCTTGCATCTTGGAATGTGGATAGTACAGATCCTCCTGCCATGCCAACATATATATGAAATTGAATTAAGAGTTATAGCAAACGTCAATTTAAATCATTGACGTGAATTGAAGCAAGAGTGGTGTGACGGTTATGTAACCTTTGCACATGTATTGCGAGATTTGTTCCAGTCTATTTCATGATATGGAACTGTGTAGAGCTCTTTTCTAAGAGACAAAACTACGGGTGTGATGGGCCCAACAAACCTCTTCCCATATAAGTATGACATTGGTAGATAAACCATTCGACAATGGCACCACATTCTTCCTGGATATGGTTCAAACAAAACAAATTCAATTAGTTTAATTGCTTTTAATTTATTTTCTTCTTTACATTTGTTCCTATAATCTAACTTTTTTAGATCAGAACAAGGAATGAACCTAAGACAGCAAAAACAGGGACATGAAAAAAAATCAAATTATATGCATGCATCTCGTGAAAGAGGCGTGGAAAAAAGTGGCATGATCCCCAGTACAACCAAACGTGATCTCAAAATTTCTTTTAAGAAATAAAAGCGCGATAATGATCAGTGGTTGAATTATTATGCTCAGATGGATAACCCTTTTGTATTTTATTTTATTTTTTTGAAATTGAGCTTTTAAACACTAATTTCATCTATGCATTTTTTTTCTTTTGCTATTTTTTGTTTTTTTCTGGATTGGACAAGGTCCAACTTTTTTCACCATAATCAGAAGAACGTAGACCTACGTTCGCTCTAAGATCTAACATCAAGATTTTTTTCATATTGAGTTCGCTCGAAAGTTTGAAATTGAGACCACTAAACCGCTATCACCAAGAAACCTCAAGTTCATGTTAATGGGGTCTTCCCCTTGGGGGTTTTGCTATCTAGTTTTTGAAAACGTTGTCAAAATCTAAGCCAAATTTTGAAACTAAAAATGAAATGGTTATCAAATACCTCCATATAATCCGTTTTTGAGAAGTTTAGCGGATACATAATAATATTAAGACACGTGTAAATTTAGTAAAAGTTAGTGCAAAATTTTCATTTTGACTTAGTCGTATTATTATTTAGGATAGTCGTGAAAGTCACCTTCATCATTGGGTCGGCCAAGGCTCAGCCTAACCATAAAAGAAAGGTCCGAGTTGATTAACTTATATAATAAATTACTCTTTAAATATTTTCTTTAGAATAATTAAAGTGAGTTAATATTTTTCTTTAGGAAGAATAAGGGTCAGCGAAATAGCCGCTTTGGTTGGAGAGATTTTAAGGAAGAGTTCTCTTAGTGGGCTATTGCAGTTAGTTAATTAGTTATTGTGGTCTTAGTGCATTATTGCAGTTAGTTAATTAGTTATTCTTGTTATTATTATTTGGCTGTAAATAATGGTAACAATTTATGATTTTTCATTAGAAGTTTATCTTTGTATAATTTTTCTCTTTCCTCTCTGTATTCATTTTGTGTGTGTGTGTGTTTTTTTTACTTGGCATTAGGGTAGTCAGTTTTTTATTTTATGTTTGAGTCTGGTACTCAAAGGGTGAAAACAAA